CCCCAAAACCCCAAAACCCCAAAACCCCAAAACCCCTAGGGAGATAAGTGTTGTTGAGAAGGAGAATTTGGCAATTGTTGGTATTGGAATTTAATGATATTATTGTTATAATTGAGTATGATGGGCTGTATTGTTTGTGATGACTGAATGATAGAAGTTTAGACTATATTTTGAGTTACTAAACCTCCTTCATTAAACCTCTCAGCCTAAAAGACCCCTGCAGCAGAAACCCAGCGTATAATTTATCAGAAAAACAGTGAAAACGGAGTTGTTTTGACTTGTAAAAGAATTATTTGAGTAGAGATTTGTCATAAAAGCAATTAAGATGTCTCTTGAGAATGAATCCTAAGGAGGACCAGAAGATTCTAAACTAGAGACAGCTTGGTTGGCTTCTATAACAAACTCATCCCTAGTGTTTACTTGCAGCCTTTGGTTGCAACAATTTGTATTGTCTTTGTACTAGGGATGAAATTTTAGGGCTCTTCTTTAGTTATTTAGAGAGATGGCCAGAGGTGACTTCTCTGGTAGATCGACTTTGAAGGATTTAACTAAGCTTGGCCCTGAATTTTCAAGCTTGTTAGAAGTCATCAGGAGTCAGGACATCAAATTTCTCCTTTTGTGAGGAGTCCTTTTGTGAGGAGTCCGTTAATGAACCATCGGAATAATGGCTTTTTGTGTTTCATATAGATCTGTTTTGTCATGATGAAAGACTTACGTTGTTGGAGTGCTTTGTTGAGTTATAGAACTCTGCTCCGAGCTTTCAGAAAGACTTATATGGTTAGCTTGAGAAGCATTAATTTCTTAGAAGGTTACTTGATATTTGGTAATTAAAATCGTGAACCTCTTGTTTAGTCTCCTCTATAATATGGTCATCTCTAATACTATTGGAAGGGACATCAAATAAATGAAGTCAATGATCCTACATAAAATGAATGCTAAGGTAAATTTAGTCATTCAAATGTTAGAATGTTCTAAAGATTCGAGAGTTTTCTTTTTATTCATCGGACCAAGTTTGATTAAATTTTATCAATTATTCGTCAAAAATTAGCTATTATTAATGATGCTCGAAGCTCCTAGGTCTTCTCAAATGTTTAGGTGTTTGGAATTGAGAATAAAAAGTAAATTGCGATCAACTATTAGTACTAAACCATAGGCAATGTTTATGAAGGTACAATATCTTTGAGAGAGCTTAAAGTACACCCTCTGGAAATAACTAAATTCAAAAGCTACATTTACACTATTCTTTTTAATATTGCAAACTCCCAAAGTAAAAGAATCTATCTAATCAAGCAATGCGGATTGATTGGACTTTCAGAAGCTTCAAAAGCTTCAATAAAGCATCGGTTTCTTACCTGTATCTGACTCTCTTGATCACGGAGAAATTTCTAGTCTCCGTTCCTTGGAATATGGCCTTCTAGAAGATCTTGATCTAAATTTGGGATTGTTGTCTGATATGGTTCAATTTTCCAACGATGAGTCGCTATATCCTTCTTTGTCAGTTACTTCGTATACATAGTAAGTTCTCAGCTGGTTGGCCCTAGGACCAAGTGGGTATAGGTGTCTTCTGTTCAGCAGAAGAAAGAGCGTATCTTTATCTTTGGACCTGGGGTGGGTATCAAGATCTCCACCCTCCTTAAGCTCTTCTCTAAATCAGCCACGATGCCGATCAGGCTCTCCTAGAGTAAATTCTTCTCCTGTTTTCTCCTGTGCACAACCGACTCTACATGATCCATCTGGCTTGGCCAAGCTGGGCTAAACTTCCTTTCCATTTTCACAAAAAAATCAAAAATATTATTAATTAAAGGGGTTTTGGGGTTTTGGGGTTTTGGGGTTTTGGGG